TAACAGAGAGAGGTTTTGAGTCATCTGGCAGGCTTAAAACTAGATAAATCTCCAGAGCCAAATGAAATGTATCCCAGGTTGTTGGGTGAGGCAAGGGAGGAAATAGCAGGGGTGCATAAAAAATTTTCAATTCTTCTCAAGCCACAAGAAGAGAATGAACGACAGCTAATGTGATACCATTATTCAAGAAGGAAGCAAGGGAACTACAGGCTGTTCAGTCTAACCTCAGTGATGCGGAAACTTTGAAGCAATTCTGAGTGACAGAACGAATCTGCATTTGGAGGGGTGGGGATTAATCAAGAACAGCCAGCATGGTTTTGTTAAGGGTAGGTGATGTCTGACTAACTTGAATTTTTTTGAAGAAGTGACCAGGTATGCAGATGAGGACAGTGCTTTTGATGTCATCTACTTGGTCTTCTGCAGGGCTTTTGATAAGGCCCCGCATGGGAGACTGATAACAATGGTAAGAGCCCATGGGATTCCAGGAAATCTGGCAAATAGATCCTCAATTGGCTGAGTGATATGGTGATAGTTGAGGGCTGCTTTTCCCTCTGGATGTCTGTGTCCAGTGGTGTTCCACAGGGGTCAAAGTTAGGGCTCTTGCTGTTTATAGTACATTTAAATGGTTTACACTGAATGTAGGAGGATTGGTCAGTAAGTTTGCAGATGATACAAAAATTGGTAGGGTGGTAGATAGTGAAGAAGACAGCCTTAGACTGCAAGAGAATGTATGAGCTGGTCAGATGAGTTGTTTGGTGGTATATGGGATTTAATCTGGATAAATGTGAGGTGATGCACTTGGGCAGGATAAATGAGGCAAGGGAATACATGATGAGAGTGTGCATGTACAAAGGTTCTTTTAAGGTATCAGGACAGATGGGGAAGTAAAGCATATGGGATATTATTAGTTGAGACATAGAGTTGTAAGAGCAGGGAGCTTATGCTGGGACTATATAAGTTATTGATTAGGCCACAGCTAGAGTACTGTGTGCAGTTCTGGAGTCCACATTATAAAAGGGATGTGAAGCAGTGGAGGTGGCCTTCGTTCCATCAAGTCTGTATCACTAAAAATATGCTACTGCGTACACTATTCCACTTTCCCATTGGCCTGAATGTTATGACACTTCAAGCGCTCGTCCAAGTACTTTTTAAAAGCTAAGGTTTCCCACCTCAACTACCCTCAGTCAATGCATTTCAGACCCCCACAACCCACTGGGTAAGAAAAGTTTTCCTCAAATCCCCTCTAAAGCTTTTGCCTTCTGCTTTGAAATCATGCCGCCTTGACCCTTCAACTAAGGGGAACAGCTGCCACCCTCATTCACCTCTACTCCAAACTTATCTGTTCCAAAGAAGAAAATCCATGCATATCCAGCCTCTCTTCATACCTGAAATGTTTCATCTCTGGTAACATCCTGGTGAATCTCCTTTGCAGCCCCTCCAATGCAATCAAATCCTGCCAATAGTGTCGTGACCAGAATTATGCACAGTAATCCAATTGGAGCCGAATCAAAGTTCTGTACAGCTCCAACATGTCCTCCCTGCTCTTAAATTTATGCTATGACTAATGAAGGCAAGTGTTCTTAACTACCCTATTAACCTGAGGTGCAGAGGAGGTTTACCAGGATGTTCCTTGGCCTGGAGTGTTTCAGTTATGAAGAGGGATTGGACCGTCTAGGATTGTTTACCTAAGAGCAGAGGAGATTGAGAGGAGACACGATTGAGATGTCGAAGATTAGGAGGGGCATAGGTAGGAACTTCTCTCGTTTAATGGAGGGATCACTGACCAGAGGGCATAGAATGAAGGTATAAGGCAGAAGGTTTAGAGAAAGTGTGAGGAAAAACTTTTTCAGCCAGAGGGTGGTGGTAATCAGGGACTCACTGCTTCTAAGGGTGGTGGAGGCAGATGTTCTCATAACATTTCCTAAGTTTTTAGATATGCATTTGTAATGACAAAGCATACAAGACTCATGCTGGAAACTGGGATTATAGTAGGTGGTTGTTTTTGACCAGCATGAACACAATGGGCCAAAAGGCCTTTTTCTACAGATTTTGATGACTCTAATTCAGTTCATTTAACGTGATGCCAAGAAATGGCTGGAAGCACTAGATACTGCAAAGGCTATGGGCCATGACAACATTTCAGCAATAGTGCTGAAGACCCATGTTCCAGAACTTGCTGCTCCCTTAGGAAAACTGTTTGTGTACAGCTACAGCACTGGAATCTACCTGACAAAATAAAAACTCTGCCGGTGAATTCCAGAAATGAGGTATGAGAAAATAGTCCTTGACATCAAGGAGCCCTAGCAAAACTAGAACCAATAGATATTAGGGGAAATGTCTCTCCTATTTGGAGTCATACCTAGCACAAAGGAAGGTGATTGTGGTTGAAGTTTGGTCATCTCAGCTCCTTCAGCAATGACCTTCCCTCTATCATAAGGTCAGAGTGCGGATGCTTGTTGACGATTGCAAAATGATCCGCACCGTTTGTGACACCCCAGATACCGAACTGGTCCGTGTTCAAAGGCAACAAGATCTGGACAGTATTTCAGCTTGGGGCTTGGAAAGTGGCAAGTAACATTCATGCCACACAAATGCCAGGCAATGGCCATCACCAGTAAGAGATGATCTAACCACTGCCCCTTGACATTTAACGGTGTTACCATCACTGAATTTCCCACTATCAACATCGTGGAGGTTACCATTGACCAGAAACTGAATTGGACTACAACATAAATACAATGGCTACAAGAGCAGCTCAGAGGCTAGTAATACTGCAGTGACACATCTCCTGACTCCCCAAGGCCTGCCCACCATCTACAAGACACAAATCAGGAGTGTGATGGAATACTCCCCACTCCTGGAGGAGTGCAACTCCGAAAACATCCAAGAAGCTTGATACCATCAAGGACAAAATAGCCTTCTTGATTGGCACCACATCCACAAACATTATCTCCCCACCACTGGGACTCAGGGAGCACTGTGTACTGTCTGCACTGCACAAGTTCACCAAGTATCCTTAGACAGCACCTACCAAACCCATGATCACTTCTGTCTAGAAGAGCAAAGGCAACAGATACTTGGGAGAAACACCACATTTTGATAGAAGGGTGATATATTTCCAAGTCAGGATGGCGAGTGGCTTGGAGAGAGACTTGCAGGTGGTGGATCTGCTGTCCTAATCCTTCTCAAGGTATTGTTGTTGGTTTAGAAGGTGCTGTCTAAAGACCCTGGATAAATTTCTGCAATCATTCTTGTAGTTGGTATACGCTGCTGCAACTGAGCGTTGATGGTGGAGGGAATGGAGGTTGTGGCTGTCAATCAGCTGCCTGGCCTTGGATAGTGTCAACTTCTTGTGTTGTTCAAGCTACACACATCCTGGCATCTGTGGAGTGCTCCATCATGCTCCTGTCTTGTGCCTTGGTGGACAAGCATGAGGGGCATAATTTTCAAGTGAAAGACAAGAGATTTCGGGCAGATTTGAGGAAAAGCTTTTTCACCCAGAGGGTGGTAGGAATCTGGAGTACACTACCTGAAAGAGTAGTTGAAGCAGGAATCCTCACAACATTTAAAAAGTACTTGGATGAGCAATTGAAATGTTGTAGCATTCAAGGCTGTGGGCTTAGCATGGGAAAGTGGGACTAGTGCAGTTGTATAATGTTTTTGGTGGCACAGACTCAATGGACTGAAGGATCTCTTCTGTACTCTATGATTCTATGGTCAGGAGTCAGGATTGCCCAAAAACTGTCTGTCTTGACAGGAGGTATGTTGGAGGGGATTTGACATGAGTATCATGACCTGAAACTTCGGAGTTTTCGATTACATAAGAACATAAGGACTAGGAGCAGGAGTAGGCCATCTGGCCCCTCTAGTCTGCCCCGCCATTTAATAAGATCATGGCTGATCTTTTTGAGACTCAGCTCCACTTACCCGCCCACTCACCATAACCCTTAATTCGTTTACTGTTCAAAAATTTATCTAGCCTCGCCTTAAAAACATTCAGTGAGGTAGCTTCAACCGCTTCACTGGGCAGGGAATTCCACAGATTCACAACCCTTTGGGTGAAGAAGTTCCTCCTGACCTCAGTCCTACATCTGCTGCCCTTTATTTTGAGGCGATGCCCTCTAGTCCTAGTTTCACCTGCTAGCAGAAACAACCTCCCTGCCTCCACCTTATCTATTCCCTTCATAATCTTATATGTTTCTGTAAGATCTCCCCTCATTCTTCTGAATTCCAATGAGTATAATCCCAGTCTACTCAGTCTCTCCTCATAATCCAATCCTCTCAACTCTGGAATCAACCGAGTGAATCTCCTCTGCACCCCCTCCAGTGCTAGTATATCTCTTCTCAAGTAAGGAGACCAAAACTGCACACAGTACTCCAGGTGTGGCCTCACCAGGACCCTATACAGCTGCAGCATAGCTTCCCTGTTTTTAAACTCCATCCCTCGAGCAATGGCAGAAAAAAATTCCATTTGCCTTTTTAATTACCTGCTGCACCTGCAATCGTACTTTTAGCGATTCGTGCACAAGGACACCCAAGTCCCTCTGCACAGCAGCGTGCTGCAATTTTTTACCATTTAAAACATTAGTCCATTTTGCTGTTATTCCTACCAAAATGGACGACCTCACACTTATCAACATTGTACTCCGTCTGCCAGATCTTTGCCCACTCACTTAGACTATCTATATCCCTCTGCAGACTTTGTGTCTTCTGCACACTTTGCTCTACCACTCACCTTAGTGTCATCTGAAAATTTTGACACACCAACTCCAAATCATCTATGTAAAGATTGGTGAAAGGTGTGCTCAAGACTTAGCCAGGGAGCAGTTAATTAAGTGATCATTGGCTTGCTGCCGGAGAGGCTGCTGAAAGGCAGTGAGGCCTGTGCTGTCTTGTAGCCCCATCTCCTCACTGCTGTCTGTAACCCAGCACAACCTAATGCTTCCTCACATCTGTTGGTCTGTGATTTCTTACCATGATGCCACTTCTGCTTTGCCTAGATCAAAGAAGATGAATGGGTCTCTGGATCACTCCGACCAGCCCGACATCGACTCCATCAAGATGTTTGTCGGTCAGATTCCACGGTCTTGGTCAGAGAAGGAACTGAAAGAACTCTTTGAACAGTATGGCGCTGTATATGAAATCAATGTGCTTCGAGACAGGAGTCAGAATCCCCCTCAGAGTAAAGGTGAGCTTGCCCAACCTGCTGCGTCTGGTCTTCAGCACTTGCCTTCCAACACAAGGTGTCTGGGAGGCTGTTCAATGAATACAAGGTTCAACTCCACGCAGTGTGTTTTGTGGTTCAATAGTTGCATTTTTTCCTCGTAAAGAGCAAATTGCAATACTGCCTTGTGGTTGGTTTATCCACGCGCAGAGGCTGGGCTATTAGGAGCCCAAAGCTCTCATACTGTGCTTGCTTGTGGTGCCCCCTTAACTTGTGACATTCTGGGATCCTCCTTGTTCTGAGTATTGATGCCAATGGCAATTTAGGAATACAATCAAATGTCTTAATCTTGCCGCCTAAAAAATAAAAAGTAGGAGCAGGAGTGGGCCGTTTACCCTTCAGCCTATTTGGTCTCAGTAAGATCATATCTGATCTAATTATTGGCCTTGACCGCCTCCATCACCCCCCAAAAATATTCAGTCTTGAATAAATTCAGTGTTGTCTGGGAAGAGGATTTCACAGAAGAACAACTGCCTGGCAGAAGAATTCTTGCTCATCCCTGTCTTAAATGTGAGACCCTTTCTGTTGAAACTGTATCCCCTAGTTTGAGGTACTCCCACTAGGGGGAAACATCCTTTCAGCATCCACCCTGTCAAACAGCCCCTCAGGATGTTCAAATAAGATCAGCTCTCATTCTTCAAAACTCCAATGAATACAGGCCCAACCTTTCCTTACAAGACCAACCCTCCATTATAGGAAACACCTGAGTGAACTTTGATCTACTTCCAGTGGAAGTATTATCCCTCTTTAAGGAGTACTCTGTACTCTTGGTGCATTCTCATCAATGACCTGTGCAGTTGTGGCAAGACTTTTTTTACTTTTATACTGTATTCCCCTTGCAGTAAAGGCCAACATTCCATTCACCTTCCTAATTAACTGGTATGCCTACATGCTAACTTTGACTGATGAACAAGGACACCCAGATCCCTCTGCAGTGCACCATTCTTCAGTTTCTCTCCATTGAAATAATATTTTGCTTTCCTGGTCTTCCTGTCAAACTGAACAGCTTCTCATTTTCCCAAATTATAGTCCAATTTGTCAAATTTTTGCCCATTCACTGAACCTATCTATATAGTTTTTCCTTATCATTACATTGCCAACAAATTTGTTTACAATGCTATTGGTGTCTTCGTTCAGCCGTTAATACAGATCAGAAATAGTTAGGGCTACAGCACTTATTCCCGTGGCACTCTAATCATTGCAATTTAAACAACCTTTTATCTTGACTGTACCTGTTGATTAGCCAGACCAGAAAATAGATCACCCCAAACACCAGGGATTACCTTGTGTATGAATCTTTTAAGTGGTACCTTATTGTTTGCTTTTTGGAAATCCAAATGCACTTACGTCTACATAACTGTTTGTTATGTCCTTACATCATTACGAAGGAATGTAATAAATTTCAGATCAGGGAGGAGGACTGGAGAAGAGAGGTGGGCATTGAGTGTTGCTGACCACTGAGTGTAATGGCTGAAATAGCTTTGTGCTCTGGATCCCTCCTAAGGGATGGTGCTGATGCATTTGGTGAGGAATCTGCGGTTGCTGAATGGCTGGTATAGCAGCTGCAGCTTTCATGGTGTGTGGAAGGAGGAGTTAGCACCTGATCTAAGAGTCTAGTTGTACAGGCTTATGTCAGTCTGGGACAGGATGAAGTGGCAAATGGGACACTGCTAGTTTTCTAGGACTTGGCCCGTTCACAACACCTAGAGGGGAAACTGGGTCGTCAAGGATCAATCAGTGCTAGCGCAGGTGAGGAGGGTCACAAGGGAAGGGAAACTTTCCTACTGTTGACTCTATGCCTTTCTTTTTAGGTTGTTGCTTTGTAACATTTTATACTCGTAAGGCAGCACTGGAAGCACAAAACGCTCTTCACAATATGAAGATTCTGCCTGGGGTGAGTATGTGCATGCCGATTCAGCTTTGAATATTCTGAATGGATTAACATCTACAGCTCTCCCAACTTCCCCAGGTATTGGTGTTAGGATCTTTACTCATCTTAGCACGTATTAGTGGCCTGGACTTGGTGTACAGGGCACAGTTTCAGAATTTGCAAATTAGAAGAAACTTCAATATTTTGTCAACTGTGAGGAGGAACGTGTTAAAAGTCAAAAGGGCAAATTAATGGAACAGGCAGGTAATGGCTGATGAAATTTAAGGCAGAGCGATGTGAATTGATTCATTTTCGTGGGAAGAATGCAAAGATTCAACTTATAATGAATGGTACAACTCAAAAGAGGTGGGGAGGCAGATAGAAACTGGGAGGACAGCTTGGAAGTGTGGCTAATAAGATGTACAGCATCCTGGGTTATGTCATTAGTGACACAATACAAAAGCAAAGTGGTTATGTTAACATATAGGAGGATTAGGTGCAGTGCCGGACACTCAATTTCACGAAGGTGTGCAGGCATTGGAGACGGTGCAAAAAAGATTCATGAGAATGGTATCAGGAATGAGGAGCTTTATTTGTAAGGGCAGATTTGACAAGTTGAGACTGTTTTCCTTGGCTAAGAAAAGGCTGAGGGGACATTTGGTTGAGCTATTCAAAATTCTTGTATAAATAGGTAGAAACTCTTCCCATTAGTAGAAGAATGGAGAACCAGAGGGCACAAATTGAAGGTGATTGGCCAAAGAAGCAAAGTATTAGGATAATGATGGCAAGATTTGGGAACCTTGGATGACCAGAGGAATTGAGAGCTTAGTCAAAAATGAGGCATACGTAAGGTTTAGGAAACTGAAGACAGAATGCAAAGATAGCAGAAAAGAACTCAAACAAGGAATTATGAGGGCTAAAAGGGGTTATGACCTGTCTTTGACAAACAGAGTTAAGGAAAGTCTCTTAGGTATTTTGTACATTTCTAAGGAGCAGAAGGGTAGCCCGGAAAAAGGTAGGTCCACTCAAGGAACTGTCTCCATGAGTTTGATAACAGAAATTTGCATTTGATTAAACTTGATTGAATTTGAGGAATGTGTGGATGAGCGTAACTGAGGTTTGCATGGATTTCAGTGGGGCCTCAGTCAAGATCCCACGTGGCGGAGTGATTACAAAAGTCAAAGCTCAAAGATCCATGAGTAAGTGGCAGTTTGAATCCAAAATTGGATCAGAGTCAGAAGTGAAGGCTAATAGTTGATTGATGTTTTTAAACATACATAGAACATAGAACATAGAACAGTACAGCTCAGTATAGGCCCTTCGGCCCACGATGTTGTGCTGACCTGTTATCCTACTAAGATCAACCTACCCTGCAATACCCTACATTATACTATCATCTACGTGCCTACTTAAGAGTTGCTTAAATGTCTCTAATGTATCTGACTCCATGACCACTGCCGGCAGCGTATGCCACGTGCCCACCACTCTGTGTCAAGAACTCTGTTTTGTGAATGGAAAATATTTCCAGTGGGATTTTAGTGTATAAATTGTTTTAATGTAAATCAATGGTTTAGGTTTGAATTTAAGGAGCATTGTTAAAATGTTATTACTCATAGAGCCATAGAGTGTACAGCATGGAAACAGACCCTCTGGTCAACAAAAAAAAATTGACTGATGTTGAGGAGGGGTCCCTAGAGACTGCAGACAGGTCTTGATGGCCCGGGCGGAGAGACAGACATAACAAGTGAAGTTCCATGTAGAAAGTGTGAGATGGTGCAAATGGAAAGGGCAACAAGGCAAAGTGATGCATAGTTAATGGGAGAATATGGAGGTGTGAAGGAACAGAGGGACCTGGAATTATGTATCCATAGATCCCTGAAAGTATCTGAACCAAATGGTTAAGAAGTTTTATGGAATATTTTCCAAAAATGCCATGATTGAGTGTGTTAAGAGCGAGGAAGTTATTGTAGAATGCTAATCAGACTGCAGACTGAGCACTGTGTGCAGTCTGGCCGCTGTGTTACAGGTAGATGAACGTAGAAGGACAGGAATGCAAAGTTTGCAAGGATGCATCCATGAGGAGAAGTTTAGTGATCAAGGAAGAGTTGAAGATTTGAATAGCTGGGGTGGATTCTTTGGAACAAAGGGGGCTGAGGGGAATAAAATTGAGATGTCTACAACTGAAATTTTAAAATTAACATTCAGGGAGCCTGACAAAATAGATAGAAATGATCTATTTCCAGTAGAGAGGTCAAGAACCAAATGGCAAGTATTTTGAGCTTCTGTTTGAAGGAATTAATGAGTGTCTCCATGTAGAAGTTGTGGGAGAATGTGGAACTCACTGCCCCAAAAGCTGGTGTAGACAACAGACTGTCATATTTCAAACTGGGCTGGTAATCCCGAACCCCAGGCTAATGTTCTGGGAACATGGGTTTGAACCCCACCGTATCGGTAGCATGGTGGCTTAGTGGTTAGCACTGCTGCCTCACAGCGCCAGGGACCCTGATTTGATTTTCAGCCTTTGATGACTGTCTGGGTGGAGTTTGCACGTTCTCGCCGTGTCTGCATGGGTTTCCTCTGGGTGCTTCAGTTTCCTCCCACAGTCCAAAGAAGTGTGGGTTAGGTGGATTGGCCATGCTAAATTGCCCCATAGTGTTCAGAAATGTGCAGGCTGGTGGATTAGCCACACTAAATATGGAGTTACAGGGATAGAGTGGGATGCTCTTCAGAAGGTTGGTGTGTACTTAATGGCTGAATGGCTTCTTTCTGCGTTGTAGGGTTTTATGATTCTGTGTAACCGCAGTTGATTGTCATAAAACCCTGCATGATTTATGAAAGGCCTTTAGGGTTTCTGCTACCTATGACTCCAGACTCACAGCAAATGTGGTTGACTGTGGGCAATTGAGAATGGGCAATAAATGCTAGCCCAGCCAGAGACATTCACAACTGTGAACAAATAGATCAACCTTTGTAGGCATGGCACTTTATGGCAGACCCGGAATGAGAGATTTAATTGATTAACTTAATCGGATGGCACAGTTACACTTGGTGAGTGGTCTTGTGTGCTGTAAACTACCTGTTTAAATTCGAAGAGATTTGGTGGAGGTTATGAAAATAGTGGAGGGTTTAGATAGAGTAAATGAAAGAGATCGTTTCAGACATTTGAATGGTTGTTAATGGGAGGGCATAGATTTAAGGGGATCATTGGAAGTAGTAGAGGCTTCCTGAGGTTAAAGTTTGGCATGCACTGCCTGATTGAGTAATAGATACAGATTCACTCGTAACCTATGGAAGAACGTTGTTAGAGACATGAGCAAAAGAGCACAGAGACTGCTCTTTGAAAGGTCTAATAAACATTCAGTTCACTCCTGTGCTCTCCTCTGATCTTGTGCTTATTCTGTACTTATTCTGGCTTCAAAGGAAAATTCGATAATCCTAACAAAGGATTTATTATTTTGTCTTTTTGATTTATTCCCATCAGAGTAGTTATCCTTCTAATTTGCTCTTGCTGTCACTTTGTTAAAGTTTTTCCCCCTTTTGGAATAAATCTTGATCTTGGCTCTCCTTGTTCACCCATCTCTTGACCCTTCCATGCTCTGGTTACAGTGCAGTGCTGTCTCTTAACTGATCCTCTGGCAATATGGGGCTCCCTCAGTACTGACCATCTCACAGTGCGATACTCCTTCAGCACTGACCCTCTAACAGTGTGTTGGTCCCTCAGCACTGACTCTCTGACAGTGTGGCATGCCCTCAGTATACCACTGGATTGTCAGCTTGAATTTTTTTTAACTTGAGCCCTGGGCACAGATATACCGAGCGTTATGTCAGCGCAGGATTACCCTTGAATGGCATTGATTGATCCATTGTTTTCTATCTCTATCTCCAGATGCACCATCCTATACAGATGAAACCAGCTGATAGTGAGAAGAATAATGGTGAGTTAGTCCTCATCTCAGGAAACTATACCCCTCAGCAACCTGCCCCCTTCGATCTGTTCAGATCGAATTGCATACACTTGCCATTGGTCATATTAGCAGTGTTTCTGAATTTCACTCCTGAAGGTCTGTGTCAAATTTTTAGACCGTGTCCCCTTGTGTCAGGCATGTAAGAATAGTTTCTTTCCAGATGTACTCTCACTTTTCTTGCAACCCTCAATCAAATCATCTCTTTTACACTCATAATTCCAGGAACTAAGCTGTAATTTGTGGCACTGGGAGAGTTAGTGTATGTGCCTTTCTACATCCGTTACTGTTGCTAAAATAATCCCCTTGTTTCATTGCAGCAGTGGAGGACAGAAAGCTGTTTGTTGGGATGATTTCCAAGAAGTGCAATGAGAATGATGTCCGTGTCATGTTTTCACCATTTGGACAGATAGAAGAATGTCGAATATTGCGGGGTCCAGACGGACTGAGTCGAGGTCAGTGGAACCAATGTTTCAGGGCTCGAGGGTTGTGCTAAGGAAGTGATGTTGTGGGATACAGGGAGAAGGTGGGCATTTGTGTTGGAGGCACATGGGAGAATGGCTGGTCGATGGCTGCAATTAGAATTTGGAATTTCCAGATCACCAGGAGCTAAAGACTGGATAATTCTTTCTCATGGTTGAAGGGTAAATATTGTGCTCTGATGGTCTCCAGTCAGTGTGCTCGTGGGATCACTGCTGCCCCAACGCACGTTCCCTCTCTTGATGTTGATGGAGATCTGATAGAGGATTTAAAAAAAAGAGATTCGAGAGAGGCTGTCTCTGGGGTAGTGTACTTTGTGCGTGGACAGGGCAGCATGTGGGAAGTGTGTCTGGCGGGGTGTGAGTGTTAGCATTAGGGAGCATTTTAGTGATCACAACACTCAACGTTTTAAGTTTGTTATAGAAAAGGAGAAAGCTGGTCTGCAAAAAACGGTCTTGGATTGGGGTAAGGCAGATTTTATTATCAGGCAGAATCTGGCCAAAGTAAACTAGGAACAGCTACTTGTGGGAAAATCTACAGATGAAGAGTGGGGGATGTTCAAAAAAGAAATGGGGAGAGTGCAGGCTTAACAAGTTCCCGTAATACTGAAATATAGGAGCAGTAAGCCCAGAGAATCTTGGATGTTTCAGAATATTCAGGACTGGTAGGAAGAAAAAGAGGGTTTTTTTTGAGTAGGTACAGAGGCAGCAAATCAGAGGAAACCTCAGTGGAGTTTAGAAAGTGTGGGGGTGGGAAGAATCTTAAGGCATTTAGATGAGCAAAGAGGGGTATGGAAAAAAAACTGACTAAAATTTTAAGAGGAATCATAGAATATTGTGTAAGTATATCAAGAGGAAGAGGATAACCCAGAGGAAGAGGATAACCCAGAGGAAGAGGATAACCCAGAGGAAGAGTAGGGTCCATTAGCTACCAAGGGAATGTCTGTGAGAGGAACTGGAGGACATTGGTAGGGTGTTAAATGAGTACTTCACTTCTGTCTTCAATTGGGAGAATTCTGGAAGAGGGACTGAGGCTCTTGAGCAGAGTGATACAGGGAGTGGAGAGATATTTGCCAGGCTTAAAAGTGGACAAATTCCCCAGGCCCGGATGAGTTGTATCCCAAGCTGCTGTGGGAGGTAAGGGAGGAAATTACAAAGGCCTTGACTCAAATTTTTAATTCCTCTCTGGTTGCAGGGGAGATGCCAGAGAAGTGGAGGACAGCTAATGTGATTCCACTTTTCAAAAAAGGATGTTACAGATAGAGATAAACCAGGGAAGTACAGATCAGTGAGTCTGACATCAGTGGTAAGGAATTTATCGGAGAAGATTCTGAAGGAGAGAATTATTCTCCATTTTGAGGGGCGAGGTTTGATCAGGGATAGTCAGCAGGGTTTTGTCAGATGGAGGTCATATGTAACAAATTTGGTTGAATTTTTCAAAGAGGAGGAGTGCAGTTTATGTGGATTGTCAAAAGCAAAGCCTTTGACAAGGTCACATGAGACAGATAAAGAAGGTAAAAGCGTGTGGGATCCGGGGTAACTTGGCATATTGGATTTAAAATTGACTTAGTGAAAGGAGACAGAAGGTGGTGGTAGAACGTTGTCTGTGTGACTGGAGGCTGGTCTCTTGTGGTGTACCACAGGGATTAATGCTGCATCCTTCATTGATTAGAGTGTCGGGGGGGCTAATAAGCTTGCGGATGACACGAAGATTCAATAGGTAAATAGTGAGCAAGAAGGTCTTAGGTTGCAGGAAGCTACACACAATTTGGTCAGATGGGAAATCAATGGCAGATGGAATTTAAACCTGGTAAGTGTAAGTTGATGCACTTAGGAAGTAAGTACAAGACAAGGGAGTACCCAATGACTGGCAGGACACCAGGAGGCTCAGAGGGATAGAGGAATTTTGGGGTGCTTGTCCACACATCCTTGAAGGTGGGAGGACAGGGTAATGAGGTAGTTAAGGCATGTAGGCCACTTACTTTTATCATTTGAGGCATAGTTTATAAGAGCAGGGAAGTTATGTTGGAGTGGTGTAAAGGAAATTCACCAGGATGTTGCCTAAGATGGAGCATTTCAGCTATGAAGAGAGGCTGAATCAGCTTGGGTTTGTTTCTTTCAAGCAGTGAAGGCTGAGAGGACACCTGAGGTGTATGGGATTATGAAGGGTAGACAGGAAGCAGATGTTCTCCTTAGTTGAAGGGGACATAATTTTAAGGTGAAGGGCAGCCGGTTCAGATGATGGTGGGATTCTGGAATGCAGTACCTGGGAGAGTAGTTGAAGCAGGTAACCTCACAACCTTTATAAAGTATGTGGAAGAACACCTGAAATGTCATTCAAGGTCAGGAGCTTGAAAGTGGGATTAGTAGCTTGATGCAGACTTGATGGGCCGAAGGGCCTTTTCTGTGCTCTATGACTCTACGATACTACAATGACGGGCAGTGTTGCAAGTAGTTTGCAAGCAATTCATGTTCTCACATTTCACTTGTGTCCCGGCCAGAACCTGAAATTAGTGTCCCCAGATCTGATACCAGCAGAGGTTTTTCTGTGTCTGTGCTTTTTAAGAAGGGTAAAAGAGGAAAACCAGGCAATTGTAAAGCAGTTAACATACATCTATATTGGGGAAATTGTTGGAGTCTGTGAACAAATATGGGAGTAACTGAACAACTCAAATTTTCAGTTAATTAGTGAGAGCCAGCATTGATTCACAACAGGTGGGTCATGCCTGACAAAACTTATTGAATTTTTTGAAGAGGTGGCTAAGGTAATGGATGGAATGTCTATGGGATGTTGCTTAAATGGACTGACAATAGGCATTTCAGCTCTCTGAGTCTGCTTCTGCCATTCAAAAGGACCATGGCTGATCTGACACAACTCACATCGTCATCTTGACCTTTCCTTATAACCCTTAGATTCTTGATCAGTGGGAGACTTATCTGTCTCAGCATTAAATATACATAAGGACTCTGCCACACAGCTCTCTCTGCTATAGTTCCAAAGACTCTCAACCCTGTGAGAGAGCAAATTCCTCCTCATCTCAGCCTTAAATTGGAGCCCCTTTATTTTGAGACTATGCCCTCTGGTGCTAGAATCTTCCATGAGGGGAAACAAGCTCTCATTATTTACCCTGTCAAGGCACTTAAGAATCAGATATGTTTCAATGAGATCACCTCTCATTCTTTTAAACTCCAATGTGAGTAGTGCCAACATGTTTAGCCTTTGCTCATCAGGCAGCCCCTCCATACAGAGGATCATCCTAGTGAACCTTCTGTTAACTGCCTCCAATGAAATTATATCTTTCCTTAAATAATGAGACCAAAACTGCTCTCAGTACTCCAGATGTGGTGTCACTAGCACCGTGTACAGTTAGAGTCATAGAGTCTCACAGCATGGAAACAGACCCTTCGCTCCAACCAGTCCGTGCTAACCATGTTCCCAAATTAATGTAGTCCCAACTGCCTTCTCTTGGCCCAAATCCCTCCAAGCCTTTCCTATTCATGAACTTATCTAATTTTTAAATGTTGTAACTGCATCCAGCACTTCGTCTGGTAGTTCATTCCACAATGAACCACACTGTGTAAAACAAAAGAAAGTCCCTCAGGTCCTCCTTAAATCTTTCTCCTCTCACCTTAAAAATATGCCCCATGGTTTTGAACTCCCCGACCCTAGGGAAAAGACCCTTGTAATTTAATCAGTATACCCAGACTTTGTCTGTTCATTTGTTCAGCGGCGGGAGTTGGGAGAGAGCGCGAGGGGACTGCTGGGAAGGTGAGCTTTTCATTTTAAAAGACTTACCTTGTGGAATCAGCAGCTTCCATTTTTGCAGCAGCAGTAGGAGCGGTGAGAGTGAGGACCAGGGGGCTGCTGGGAAGGTAAGTTCTTCATTTCGGCAGCAGAGTTGAGTGGGAGCGGTCAAATTGCGCTCTGGGAAGGTGAGTGAACTGATATTTTTTTTTAATGGTGTGCTGGTAAGTAGAGTGATTGGTAAAATTATTTTCATTTCATTTATCTATTATTTGATATTATAGTAGGACTAAGCTAAGCTTAAGAGTAAAAATGGCTGGAGATCCCAGACCCGTGTTAAGCTCCTCTTGCTCAATGTGGGAGCTCAGGGACGCAGCTGATTCCCTGACTCCGAAACGTGCAGGAAGTGTGTCCAGCTGCAGCTCTTGTTAGACCGCATGACGGTTCTGGAGCTGCGGATGGACTCACTTTGGAGCTTCCGCAATGCTGAGGAAGTCATGGATAGCACGTTTAGCAAATTGGTCACACCGCAGATTAGGATTGCTGAGGGAGAAAGGGAATGGGTGACCAAAAGGCAGAGAAAAAGCAGGAAGGCAGTGCAGGTGTCCCCTGCGGTCATCTCTCTCCAAAACAGGTATACCGTTTTGGATACTGTTGGGAGAGATGGCTCACAAGGCAGCAGTAGCCAGGTTCATGGCACCGTGGCTGGTTCTGCTGTGTGGAAGGGCTATAGTCACAGGGGATTCGATTGTAAGGGGAGTAGATAGGTGGTTCTATGGTCGAAAACGAGACTCCTGAATGGTATGTTGCCTCCCAGGTGCATGGATCAGGGATGTCTTGGATCGACTGCAGGACATTCTGAAGGGGGAGGGTGAACAGCCAGCTGTCGTGGTGCATATAGGCACCAATGATACAGGTAATAAACGGGATGAGGTCCTACAAGCAGAATTTAGGGAGTTAGGAGCCAAGTTAAAAAGTAGGACCTCAGAGGTAGTAATCTCAGGATTGCTACCAGTGCCACGTGCTAGTCAGAGTAGAAATGAAAGAATAGGCAGGATAAGTGAGTGGCTTGAGAGATGGTGCAGGAGGGAGGGGTTCAGATTTTTGGGACATTGGGACCGGTTCTGGGGGAGGTGGGACTATTACAAATCGGACGGTCTACACCTGGGCAGGACTGGAACCAATGTCCCAGGGAGTGCTTTTGCTAATGCTGTTGGGGAGGGTTTAAACT